CACCAAGGTTGTGGGCTCTATCCCTGTGTGGTTCATGCACTTAGGAGTTGGACTCAATGATCCTTGTGTGTGCCTTGCAACTCAGAATATCCTGTCATTCTGTGAATTTGGTTAGACGGCATGGGAACATTCCACTATTTGTGTCTGGTGATGCAAACACCCCAGAACACAAAGTACATTTTCAGACAAGAAGACCAGGCTGAATTCCACTCCTTTTTTTTTTTCCTTCTGGTACACATACCTTAATTTTTAATATTCTTTCTATAACAGTTTTCCACACAGTAATTCTCCATTTCAAAGAAATTGTATAAACTCTTAATATAAAATCCTATCTGTAATCCCTGCTATCTGTGATGTCTAATCGCCTGCTGTTTTTTAATATGTTAGGTCTAAAAAATTCACTAATTGTAACTTAAATAAAAAAATTGCAATGTCCTTACTTCAAAGTAAGGAAAAAACCTTCAGCAGTTCATGCACTGGATTTCTCAACATTGTTCCTCTCTGAATTACACTAGTAAAAGCTTTTCCCCTGAGTAAATATGCTGGCCAACAGTCAGACCCACTGCCACCTGTGAATTAAATGCAGAGTAGTCTGAGCAAGAGCAGCACTGATATCAAAGCAGAACCACCCCTGAGCGAGCAGCTTTGAGGAGATCGGCTTAGAAAGTTTCCAGTAGAGCACCATTCCAACAGAAAGTGCTGACTTGATGAAACCCAAAATATTCCACAGGAATGTGCTAATTCAATGAAAACTTTTGAAAGAGGACAGGCTGGCTCGCCAGGCCAGCCAACCAGTCTAGTGAGCTGACTGGCTCTCCCCAGCCCTCCAGGGTCACTGGCTGCCCCATCTGGCCAGGTGCCAGGCTGCTGGCCCTGTCCTCTCAGGGGCCCTCTAATAATAATAAAACTAATGGAGTCTTACAAAGTGTGCTGAGAAACAAACAGAAGAATTTTAAAATGAAAACCAGAATTATTTCAGAACCAATTGCAGGGTTTCATCAGAAGTTATTGGGTATGTTTGTTGCAAAGCAACTAAAGCCACAAGTCTCTCCTGTGTCTCCTCATTTTTTTATTTTTTTATCTTCCAGTGAAAAAAAGCGGTATCAATATTGCAACAACACAAAATAAGCAATAATTATAGTCAAAATCTAAACTTTACCAGGCACCTGTATTCATCAGCAAGGAGTTTAAGGTAAGTGGCTTCCAAAGCACTGAGGAAATTTATGTAAATGCCCATAACTGACCAAAACACAGAGCTACTATTTAAGCAACACCTTTCACAGAGCAGTCCCTAAGTGGGCTTCTTGCTTGTCACCATGACAAATTTGAACAAGATGATGCAAGGGGCCTCATTTAACACTCTGGAGAAACTCAAAGGAATAGGCTACACAATATTCTAGCAGTCTTTTTTTTTTTTTTTTAACCCTGTCAACTAGCAAGCAACCCACTTTCTTCAAAAACTGTCTTTTGGCGACCTGTGGTTAACCAGTGCATGGGACCTACTCTGGCTCCTCAACAACTCAGCAAGTAACAGCATTTGCTAATTGCTAGTAAAGGTTTTTAAAGACATCACCAAACACCATGATGCTTTTTCCACAATACCATTCATTTAACCAGCTTTTGCATAAAAATGCCTAGATATCAGTTCATGTGTGAACATCACAAGTAGTTTAAGGAATGAGGAAGAAAGTTTCACAGAAAAAAAAGAAAGGACTCTTTTAAAATGCCTAATTGAGTCAGCAATGAGATCTCTGTTGCAGGCAAGTCACATGATTTTGAAAGACTAAGGCTAATAAAATGTACTGATATATTTATATGAAAATCAGCACAACTTCCAGCACAGAGCTGAGACAATTTTGTGACCACTCTTTCAGAAAATACATGTAAATCAGACAGCTGCCCGAGTTTGCAGTTCACTAGCCCTTTCAACTAAAAATGCAATGCACAAAGGTAGCTCAGAAAGCAATTAGAGATTGGCTGGGAGGACTCATTAATTTATTTAAACTTCAAATCACAGCTAAGCAGTCTTGTGACATTTTTCTGGGGGAGACCGCATGCCTCAGACTCATATTTAAAAAGAAAGGTTTGTCTTCTCAGAATGACAAAATACATACAATTTGCTCCCTGGTGTTTCTTAGAAACAACAACTAATACATTTACAGTACCATGAGGAAAGACATCTAGAACAGAACTAGACATAAGCACAGTTCAATCCAACTGCTCAATCTCTAAGTATTTCTGCACCTGCAAAGTCTAAGGTTCCCTTCAACTACTTGCAACACAACTCAGAGACAAAAGAAGGTGAGGAGAAAAAAAACAAAGAAAAGCAAAAATACTTTTCCCTTCTAGTGATAATAGGACTGGGAAATATCAGTGACCAACACAACCAAATGAAAGCCTGGTTGGCTCTATTCTAGTATATATGGCATGAGGCTAAGATAACAATGAGAAAGTAAAGCATAAATACATGCCTTCCATTTTGGAAGTTCAAAAGTATCAAAAGTTCACAGCAGCATCTTTTCTCAAACAAAACTTGAGATGCCCTTGGCCTATGGCAAAAAGGCCAATTCATCAGAGATCTCATGATGACAAACAGCAAAACAAACAAGAAAAAAATGCACATGCGTGTAGACATTCATATGCAGGTCTGGGCCTGAAATCATGGCAGCATTAAGTTACCAATCTATTAGTTAATTTTTTTCATTAGCCTCATTAAAGGGACCACAATTATAACACCAAGTAATAACTGAGCACTACACAACTCAGAAGCCATCCTCAAATTCTTCATGCTGCAGTAATTTAAATAGCCAGCTACAGGCCATAACTTAAGATCTAGCCTATGACTCCAGGAGGTAACCAACTGGAGCCACAAGGATCAATGCACACTTCTCTGAAGTGTTTGTGAAAATGAGACTATACTTCTAAGTATCTCTCTCAAACCAGCCTAATTTGATAGTTTCCTTATTTCACACTTACATAACCATTTCCTAGAATCAGTTTCTGAGGCTCACTGTACAGCAGACACACTCCTAAACCAAGAGATGACACGCTGCTGTTAATTCATATTGCATTGCCCACAACCGCTTTTGTTATGCTGCAGACTACCCAGAGTGGCTTCAGCTGCCACTCACAGGTTTCACTTCTGCTTTGCTGACTTAAACTGTGTAAAGGTAACAAGATGGCCCAAAGGAGCTCCAACCAGCAGTGTGTAAGCTGAAACAATGCAAAAAAGAAAAAGGAGTCTGAATATGGCACCACTGTGATTCAAACATCATAAATGATACTGAGAGGTTACATTATGTAATTGCCATATCTTCAAACAAAAGTCAGCTGAGTGCACTCATATGTACATGTAGGAAGCAGCAGGGTAAAAGGATTTCAGTCAGTCAAATTTGTGCACACCCCATTAGATGGATTAGTGCCAGGGCTTGCTCTCTGCCAGTCTTCCTCCTTCTGCTCCACCCTAACTGATCCCAAGTGCATTTTCCTGCCCTGACTGGGGTGACTAGTGCGCTTCTCTTCTCTCCAGCATGCAACATCCCCCTTATCTTGTAAAATTCCCTTATCTTGTAAAATTCTCAGACCTGAATTTAAGAAGGAAAAATAAAGAGAAAAAAGCCCTCTTTGTTGGATGAAGTCAACCTTCTCAAATATATGTGTGGTAACACCAGGAAGAAAAACAAAATATTTATTCTTCTTAAGTACTGTGCTTTCAAATAGATTTCACAACTCCAAGCATATGATTTCAAATTATTTTTGTAATTATGGGCCAGTAGTTTTGGATAGCATTATGCTATCAAAAAATAAGATGGGCCCAACCATTCTTCAAGACTTATTTCAATAAATTGGTCCAGTGTAGAATACCCTAACAGCAAGGTGCCTGGAGGGTCAAAGGGTCCCTGACACTGCAGGTTATTTATGTAGTAAATACTTATGTTGGAAGGGACCTCTGGTGGTCTTCTGGCCCAGCCCCTCATTCAAAGCATGACCAAATTAGACTAAGTTGCTCAAGGATGGAGGTTGCACAGTCTCTTCGAGTTCCTTGACCACCCCCTCCATTATGTCACATTTCTACTTAATACTGAATCAGATTCTTCCTTGATGTAACTTGTAACCACCAACTTTCAGGTTCTTGCTGTTCACCTGCAAAAAAGTCCATCTCCCTCTCCTCTCTGCAATTTCTTGCTAACTGCATTCTATTCTGACATCTGATGACTGGTGAACAATAATCTCATTGAAGATGCACTGTAAGATTTTCTGCCCAAGCAGGCACTAAAATTTCAGTAAGACTTTCTAATTCCTTGTTTCCTCAAGCCTTTTTGTGTGCTTGCCATAGAACTGAGTGTCATCCTAAGCCACAGTGATGGAACAGTTTGATCTCAGTGGCAGAAGTCCTGTTTGCCTTGCGTTAAAGCTTGTCTAGAAGGAAAGCTTAGTAGCAGGGGGAAAAAAACAGTGCTCCTATAGATGATTCATTTAATATTGGCCAGTTTGATTAAAACAACAAAAACATATAACCAGTCTTTATGAAGTATCACATATGGAATCAAGTGAAAAAGGAGAAGTTCTTTAGTTCCTCACAGAAAGTGTAATTTTCTTGAATAATGTGCAAATGCACAGCATGTCAAGTAACAGTCCTTAATAAAGTCCCCAGGAGACTTGATCGACCCACCCTCACTACTTGATGTCATTAGACGAAAGGATGTGTAAACTACACATATTTCAACTGGACAATAAACACACAGTTGCCAAAAAATTGGAATAACCACATTCAAATAAGAATAATTTTATGTTTGCAGGACACAGGCCAAACTATATTGGCATGCAGTATATAAAGAGCAAGTTCTTAGGAAGTAATTAGAAAACAAACTACAAGCAAAAAAAAAAACCCTGCAAATTATGAGTCCACCAAACTAGTTACCAGAATATCTTATTAAGTAAAGGATTATCACACTGATGTTTAAAATTAATAAATAATTATCAGCTTACTTCTTTCTTACCATTGTAGGTTATCCTTGGTTTTGTCAAACACATCACAAGATGTAAATCCATTTCATCAGAAGATACAAATTTTGAACATACAGGGCACTTGAATCCTATGGAAAATAAAAATATGTAAGTGCGAGCATACTCAACCATGTAGCAAATATATATATATATATATATATTCAAGCCAAAAAAGCTATTCTGCACATATAAAAATAAAGAAAAAAGAAATCCTGGAGGCTTTTCAGTTTTGACCTGACATTTCTTTCATAAATCTTTCATTTCTTTCTTTCAAAAGATCTCAAAATGGCCCATTGTTTCTGGAAATAATTCTGTTGACAATTGCAAACATTGTCAGCACCTCTGGACACAAACTTTCTCAACAACTTAAGAACAGTTTAGGGCAGGAGCAAGAGGATAATATGACTTTACTAAAACAGAAATTACAAATGTATAGAGGACAGAGCCATAAAAATTTGAACTTGTGCAGGAATCCTGAATTAACATGTTCATTTTTACCAGGAATTGTACTGAAACTTTAACCAAGGATCTTGGTTTTACATCTTGTCATACAAGCTGCAGCATCTTTTACCAGTCTAGGGCTCTGGGAAAATATTAACTCAGGGGTGTTGCTTCACCTACTGAATCACTAATACTTCCTGTAGCACTGAATTCGTTTGACTGCTCTCATCCTATCCAAACATGACCTTGTTTAGATTTTGAGGTCACTGCCTCAGGCAACATGGGGTAAAGAATAATTAAGACAGTCTGGATTGTGATGCAACTGCATAACAGCCTATGACAAAAGTGCTTAATACCTTAATTTATGTCATTGCCAAAGACAGCAATCTTCCAGTTAAAGGACAAGATCAGCTGGACAACTTTTACAATCCACAGAAGAGCCTGACTGATTTTGATCTGCTGAATAATTAACACACAAGTGAGAGATAAAAAAACCCCCACCAAGAGGGATCTTGATGCATAGTAGTTGTTCAGGAGTACATCTACAGGCAAATTGTCCAATGGGACAACATTCAGCAAAAATATCTAATCTACATCCACCCTCAGCACAAAGGCACAACTTTTTCTCTGATGCTGTGAAGAATAATGATGCAGGCCTGTATAAAAGGTCACTGCACCTTCCACCAGCATTTCCATCTGGGCCTGCTCCCACATGTTTTAGTTTATTGCTTCTTGCTTTTGTACTTCTAACCTTGGGAGGCCACAATAAACGGAGTCAGTCAAGGATGACAAGCAACTTGACGCTGCAGTTTCAAATAACTGATGCCTGAGAATTTTCATCTTTACTGTTAATTATTATCCAGATGTAGATCAAGCAACTAACCTGAAACATTAGCACTTGAGACAAGTACTGCACTTTCTTTATCAAGAAAATGATGTATTTCTTATGGGCAGCTCATAGGAAGCAAGTCAAAGAGGACAGCTAGTAACAACCATAAGGAACTCAGGGCAGCAGCTGAACATGTGCTGGAAACCACTTCCTGAGATAAACTACAGTTCTGCTTCTTCCAATTTTAGTCATATCTATTTCTTCTTTGTGTCAATCCTACACTTCAGTTTAAACATTGCTCTTCTCTCTTTGATTTTATTCCTCCTCTCCCAACCCACATTTTTACAAACAACAGATCAATAAGCATGAAATGTCTTTTGGACATGTCAAAGCCAAACATGTCTTTTGGAAAAAACTAGCTGAAAGCATTAATTTACTTGTTGAAAGCTTTATCAGTGACCTTTCAGCCACTGTGTAACCTCCTTCACACAGATGTCCTGGGGTGACTTTATGATGCTGAATTGTATACTTATTTGTCTGTTTAGCCCAGAAATAAGTTTTGCACCTTTAATACTGCTTCCGAGAGCAAAGACTGAGAAGAAGAAGTGTGGAGTTTGTTTTCAGAAACTGCACTCACTCCTCCACATTCCTGCTCCTGTGTTGTCTGAAGAATGGACAGCAAGAGAGAGCTCTCCTTTACTTTTAGATAGCTGAGGCAGAGAAGTTCCCTGGACTGGTTTTTCTTTTTCTTGGAACTGTTCAAATCTGCTCTGGACTGAAGAACCCAGAAAAATGCCAGGAGCTCACTCACACCTGTGGCCCACCAGGCCCAGGAGCTGCATTCCAGCGCCGGAGGGACTGATAACAGACTGAGTGAGCTGAGCTACAGCCCACAAAGAGGACTTCCTGAATTTATCATCTCTTCAGAGCAGCGAGAGGCTTTGTTGTTGAGTATTGTTCATTTTTTGTGCTGGTGAATGAATTGGTAAATAAACAGGGTTTTTCCACTTTTCTCCAAGGAAATATTTTCCTGAACCAGTTGGAGGAGGGGCTGCTTGAATCTGTTTTCTAGAAGAATCCCTTTAGAGGTTTTCTCTCAAATTTGCCCTAAACCAGGACATCAGGCTACACCTGAACATGACTAAAATCAAAATTAGTATCTCGGTCCTCCAAACACACCACCCATTACTGTTCTGTTACAAGGTCCTTCAAAAACTGACTCAGGGTAAGTTTCCTCTCAATCTTTATCACCCTACTGCTGCTGATTACTAGGTTTTGACTAGACTCAAGACACATGCATTATTCTCATTAATATGCTTCTATAAGGCATAATTGACAATAGAGTTTGATGGGGGAAAGCCTGTAACTTCCCTATATGCTTCAGACCAAGTCCTGCTGTGATAGAAGGGGGTGTTTACATTACAGAAAAGTTAACTTTTATGTTCATGGCTAGTTAAGCACTGAGACAGTCACTAGCAAGTTATCTCTCTGCTTGCTGGACAGAACTCTTCTAGCTTATTCCCTAAAGTCATGAGCACATGTAATTGGGAGAGACAGGGAGAGTACATATCCCAGGAATTCTTGGAGGAAATATTTTAATCCAAATAAAATACTGGGGAGAGCTTGAGTGAATAATAATGATAATTTAATAATAATACTGCTTTTACTCAAAACCATGCTTTGAAGATAGACAGCTGCAAAAATCTTTCAGGTTATTCACCTAGAGTATTCAGATTAATATGCTTTTACCACCATGCACCTACCCTTAAATCTAGTAAATAATCTGTGTTCTAGAAATATAATGTTTTAACAATACATTTTGTTGTGACTTGTCCTGTGTCAGAGGGGATGTGAAGGAAATGGTTAAACAACTACAAACATCCTCCTGACACAGCAGGTCTGGGATACCTGACTGCTGTGCTCTACTCAATGTGCAGAACTGAAGAACCCAAAGAATGGAGATCTTAACTAAGATTTAAGGAACAACTCAGCTGACAGAAGTAAAAAGTGTGTTTGTGGAAAATATCTTTTTCCAGTGACCACAATCAGCTGTATACCAGAGACTAGCATAATAGCAGAAAAAGAGCCTTGGGCTCACAACACTTGCTGAAACATTCTTTAAATACAAGTGAAATCCGACTTCTCATTACTTCACAATGTTCCACTGCCATCAAACTCCTGGATTTAGCTCAAGAGATCTTTGCCAAGAGATGCATAGTGTAAGTTTTGTGTGAAGGAAATTACCATTTCCAACTCCTTTTAGTAACCCTAAAGAACAATTATTTTGACTATAGACAAAATATTTACTTTATTCTAATTGTATTTGAAATTATAAATAAGCAAACAATCTACACTATCCACAAGCCAGTTGAAGGTCCTTTAAAAAGCTCATATTTTCCTACCTTTCCTCAAATCAGAAGGCAATAGTCTCATGACCCAGTTTACAATTAAGTATTGGGTAAGAACAAAGACTCTATTGTATCCCTGCCCAGCAGGCTAACTACATTTATAACCTATGTTTGTTTTTACCATCTTCTCAAGGAACAATTCCAATAACTTATAGAGAATTTCACATGACTTTAACAATCAGCAATGGGTCAGAAATAACTTGCTCTCTACATGACTTGTTTTACTGGGTTTTGTAGATAATTCACAGACATTTGGGCAAAAAAGTGGAAGCAGTTATCAGATGAGGCAGCATCACATGAAGAGTCTTCCAAAATCTTATGAAACTCAATCAACTACTTTCTCACTCTCTTTACAAGGGGAGCACAACAGATAATTTACAGTTCTAGGTAAAAACCCAGCCCTTAGGAAGGTGTTGATTTCACAGCATCCCTTATTTTTGTCCCAGATGACAACTATCATATTTGTCTTAGCATTGTCACTGTCGGCACATCACTGTAAGGTCCTTCCTTCTCCCATCGTAGAGAACTCAGGCTGTGACACACCCTAAATCAGCTGAAGGAATACCTCTCACCCCATTCCCTACATACAGAAGTACAGCACTAAAGAATTGAGCACCAAAACTGAGCAAGCAGACACCTCTAGCTGACTTCTACAACTGGAGAGCAGGGAGCTAAATTCTTACAAGCTCCCATCATCCAGTTTCACAACCCTGATTACAATACTGAAAGCAACACATTACTTAAAACAAAACCAAAATCCTGGGGAAAAAATTACAATTACAAGAAGTGGAGACAGAACAGAAAGTTGCAGTACAGCTACTAGAAAATCCCAAGGTGACACAGAAAATCTGAAATAATTAAACTTGCTTAAGTATCAGGACTTATATCAGAGGTGAATTCTGTCTCATTCTCTCTTCTCCAAGCTCTGCCATCTTTTGCAAGTGAACCTCCAGTCAACCAAGAACTCCCATATTCTCTCACATCCATCTACCAGACTCACACTTTTCCTCTCCAGCAGACTTGGGAACTACCTACAGGGACAGGTTGATGAGTGGCCAGTCATTCTATAGGCACCAATTTCAACCTCTTAGTGATGCCTTACTGTGTTTGCCTTGCTTTGCAAGCATCAGACTGCTTAACTTGCACTTCAGTGCACAGCAGAGCAAACATAAACCTCCAATGAAAAACGAACTCCCAGATTGCTAAAATTTTTACAAAATCATGCGGGCACTTATTCTGGAATATCTACGTTGTGGTGCAAAAAGAAAACCTGCCAAGAGCTCCCAGACAACAGTGCAGAGTGTCACAGAATTGCACGTAAAGAAACATGGTAGACTTGCACAGAAGAGTGGATGATCCTTTCATTCAATATTAAACAGTTGTAGAAAGAAGTAAGCACAAATAAAACCTG